TCAGTAACTGTCACTTTCTTTCTCGGTGAGAAACATCACATACTTTGGCGTAGCCTGAATCAAGCTCGATGGCTTTGGTTGCGTCAGTGATGGCATAGCCATACTGCTCGAGTTTGATATTGGCCTGAGAATCATTCACGTGAGCGAAGAAAGTCCAACAAGTCTGCGATTCTGGGCGAAATAACCTGCGCTCTATTGCAGTAATAGGATGGATCTTGGTCGTACATCTCTATAGCTTTTGTGTAGGAATCTATAGCATTCAGCCATTCATGGCTCGCAAAGTATTTGTTGCCCTTTGCTTTCAGCTCGGCGGACTCTTCTTTCGGAGCCATTTTGTGAGGTTGTGATACTCGTAAGAATGGATGGTCTGAAGTAAGCCAAATTTATAGATTAAGAAGTGGATAAGTTTTACAATAACGAGCAACTCCGAGACCCAGTCGTCCACCATTCTTGTACTCTAGATCGGATATTCTTCGGTTAAATGCCGCTAACCCTTTGCAGGCGTGCTCTCCTTCTCCTTTCAGCCTCTTACTCCCGACGGTGAGCGACTCCTAATTCTTGATGAACCACATTTTGCGTGGGAGAGTTTAAACCTTCATAATGTCATCCGCCTTCGTTCCAGGGTCGCAACAACGCTACCTTCGTGCTTGTATGGTCTGCTCTATCGTTCAAACCCATGCTGTGAGTTCACTACGCTCGGCTAGGTCCCTTGTCCGTCTGGAACGAGGCACTACTTCTACCCTCAGTGAGAAACTATACTGAAGACTGTGTATTTCTAGCGCTTTCTACGTGACGGCTGTCCGAACTGCGAGTCTTTCCTAGGTCTCGCCAACTCCTCCGACGCCGTTCAAGAATGCACATCGCAAGTCTTTGAGGGACTAATTACGCTCGCGGATCCCACAACTAGCTGGGTGGCTAGATGGCAGAGGTTGGAGGGCTGTGTAAGCGGGGTCTATGCTGTCAAGGTCGTTGGAACGGTGAGTGGGAGCATAAAAAAACGTCGGAGCCCCTGGTCTTGTGGGGCAGGCTAGAGACAAAGGCAGGAAATCTATAGCTCAACAGTAAGAGGGGATTACGAGCAATGCTGACATTTCTCCTTGCTACAGTTACCAGATGACGTCAAGCAAAACATTGAGGATGCGGGAGCGAGATATATTCCGTATGTAACGAGGCTCTCTAGACCTACTGGGCGAGCATGCTGATCCAGATGTAGGAGAGATGGTACTGCCGATGATGATGACACAGGATGATCAGGTCCAGGATCAAGAGACTGATGGGTTTGGACCACTATGCAAGGCGCTTTGGTATGGATACATTGATTGCGTGGTTCATAGCGTATACCCGGAATAGATCCTTTAAAAGCTGCTAACGAAGAAGGGTCCTGATTGGCTTGGATTTTTGCGTTCGCGAAGGCAAGCCTTGACAGGACTTTTTCAGAGAACCATCTTTCTCGCTTGAGCACTGGGATTTCATACCCGCGATGTTTTCTACGGGCCTCCTCTCCGTAGTTTCTCATCAGGCTGTTGATCCAGTAGGCAGATTAAGAGCTTTTCGTCAAATCGACACCTAGTCATGTTGAACCGTTAGGCCTTGTTTTGCGGACAAATATCTTCCTTCCGATGGACACACTTTCTGCTGATCTGTGACAATCAGGCCCAAGCTCTTGTGAGACTCGATTATTCCTAATTATACAGTGCAGGTCAAAAAGGTGTCTAATCTATGTAAAAGCAGCGAAAGAAACCCTTTAAATGGCTGCAGAATTTGGGGTTTCATGCATCGAGAGGAAAGAAAGAAATGGTCTGTCGAGGCTTGATAGCCGTGAGCGTCGTAAGGCCATACATAAGCGTATTCCAAGACGTTAAAGTAAATTGGCCGTGTGAAGGGTCGAGGCAGAAAACCGAACGAGATGCTAGATGAATAGCCACCAACGCTGATATTTATGAGTGTGTTGTCTTACGCTCAAAGTTGCAGGACAATAGCCGCTATCTTGTTTTGGTCCGCATAAAATGCATAGTGTCGTGGAAAGTCGTTGACCCCGAATAGTCGCTCCCGCCTCTTTCTCATAGAACTTGCTGTTATCCTGTTGTTGCTGGGTCTCTTATTGGCCCCTGGTATGATATGAAGTCGTTCTGTGGTGTGAAGTCGTGCTGGAGTGTCATAGTGCTCTGAACAGTATCTGGCGCAGTACGCTCTGCATGCTCTCGCATATCAGCCGAAAGACTCTCCCGGGCCTCGACCTCCGAAACCTGCGTCTCGGGAATAGTGCTTTTGACGGGTTTGCCCTCGTCGATTCGCATCTGATCCGCAGCACGCGCTGTTGCCTCAAGAGCAAGACTCCTAGCAGAAGGCTCAGAAGCTAGACTGCTTGCCTCTTCGGGTGCTACTTTCGGCTTTTGAGCTTTCTCCGTGCCAGTAGAACCTTCGCCTGCAGCGCCAACCTCGGTCATGCTAGGGGAGGCCATGCCCTGGTTTGGCGCACCCTGTAGTGATGGTCGCGGGGTCTTCTTCCTCTTTGGAAGGGGTTGATATTCTTCTCCGCGCGCTGCAGCTTCTGCAACCTTGGCTTCGTATTCTGCCTTACTTGGACGTCCTCGCTTCTTCTTCGGTGGTCCCCCGGAAATCGAAGCTGTAGCGCCTTGACCAGTGGCAGGATCGCTCGAAGTGTTTACGGGAGGAAAGTTGAATGGCTGTATCACTCGGTCCGCTACTGAGGGAACGTTTTCGCCGGAAGCTGGACGCTTTGTCTTTGGCTTCGAAGCACTCTGCGGGGACGGTTGTTCGAAAGCGACCATAGGTTGGACAGGGACCGTGAATCGAACGCGGGCGTTTGCTAGGAGGTGTTGCCAGACTACTATGCATGAGGAGACGGAGCGACCTGTAAGCAAGATATTCAGCCCCTGGCAACTCTTCACGGTCCATTCCCTGCGCACCATTTGGCAATGCTATCTCGTACCAGCTAGGCTGAATACCTCTTTCTTGAATGAGGTTCATTAGGTCAAGAGGATTTATCGAAGAGCTCTTGAGGATCTCAGCGAGAAAGTAACGCTGTCCCACATTAGTCTCAGAACATACCACAGCAGGTCAGCGTATGAGGACATGATGGAACAGCAACAGGAATCTGAGGGGCTTGTAGGGTCACTTACTACTTCGTTATCGCCAAAAGGCTGCTCCATAGCAGCCATTGCGAATAATGATTGTGGTTTGATTGTGGTTTGATAGGGCCTGAGCCGTGTGTAGAAAGCGCAGGAGGGTGCAAAACTGAGGAAATAGAAATGAAGATTCAAAGAGTATTACGGATAGTACGGTTGGAAGGAAAGTGATTGAGGGTTTGATTTGTCCTCAAAGGTCATGGAAGTAAAGTGCATTAAAGATTGGGAGTAACGACTGTTGTTGTGACAAGGCACGGCGAAGTTCAATAGACTCCAAAAGAAGGAAAGCTGAGACGTGGCCAAAGAGACAAGAAGGAGAAAAGAAGTAAAGAGAAAATGGGTCACGCGGATTATAGGATGTTGCAAGTTAAAAGTGCTCTTTGGCCATGAGAGCTCCCTTTACCTCGTAAGTAGCTTTCTGTCGCTGCACGACCAAGTACCAACGGGATTTTTTAGATTTTTAGCCGCTATTCTCTGCCTAAGAAACGTGGCCGATGCAAGCTTCCCTTTCTTGAAGCTTCGTTTGCTTCGTTGCTTTTTCTCAGCAACACACATGGAACATTTCAATGTGTCGCGGACAAACTCGGCCTCGAGAAGCGTGTCGGATTTTGAGGGTATCCGGAAGAAGTATCCCAATGCCTTGGTAGGATTGGTCAACCCATCTGCCGAATCGGAGAAGAGAGTCCTCTGCAAGCCCCCCTGACTAGCTTTGAACGATCAGACCCTCGAGCCCTCGACCTCGTTCTGAATGAAAGTACATGGCTTCCATATGTATGTGCTGGAAGATGCAAAGGATGGAGGATGGCATGGTTGGAATCGTCAAAGTGTTTACAAGTTGAAGAATTTCTGCTTCCCTCGGTCATATTATTATATACTACTGGTTCCCCACTGGAGAATGCGCGAAAATGGTCGCGACCAACAGTATCGAGACACATCATCATCCATGCAACGTGGTTTCCTTTAAGTCTTAGTCCATGTACCTCCCTCATCCTCATCCGTCAAGTGTTTGGCCAGGCGGTGCGATTGAGACGAGCGATTGTTGCCTGTGCTATGAGTACTATCAGGTATCGTTCTGAAGCCATTGCACTTGCTCTATTCTTCTTCTGAAATCTATGTTGCTTAGTTGAAGCGCAGCGCTGGCTATGTGTGTGGTGCTCTGCCTTGCATCTACCATTATTCGCTTCTTGAAATGCCATGAACACGGCTCGTTCCTGTATTTAGATTTCGAAAATAAATCAATTTCTATAAATTTCAATATTCTGGAACTGCTAGGCCGTACTTGCCGAGGAGGTGTGAATCTCAAAAAAGCCGAAGCGTTTCCCAATTCACCTCCATCACGAACTCACCCGTGAACTGAACTGACCACCAGAGTTCGAAAAGTTGTGGGACTGTGAACAGTGAATGCGATAGAAAGTTTGCCTTTGCTGTGCGCTCCAGTGGGATTTGGGTGAGATCTACCTACATTTAATGGGGCTAGAGACCTGGTGAGACGGCCCTGGGAAGCAATACTGGTTCTTCCAAAGCTACCTACTGCATTCACTCTTTTCGACACGTGAATGTATCAGAGTTGGCGGTAGTTATTTGCTTGGCAACATTGCCCGTCCTTCATTCGTATCATCACGGTCTCTCCCTCCAGTGGCATGTGAGCAAGGAAAGAAAAGAAGCTTGCAGAAGATCGTATGCCCTCACAAACGCGGTTACCTGTCAGTAGAGTCTGGATCACCATCCTGTGTTTGCCATGTGCGGGGATCATCCTCAGCGACCCTTCAATCGCCATTCATCATTCACCGTATTGCAACCTCACCCTCAACACTCCTTTCATCGTACCGCCTTATGCCGAGGCCCACCACCATGACGGAACCCAAACGATCAAGAAGACATAAGATCTTGGAGAATAGGGTTGAAGAGCTACATTTGGAGAATGGAGATGCCCCGGGCAGGTTGGGGAAAGAGATCAAGGAGGAGGCTACAAATAGCGACGGGTCCTCACCTAAGGATACTTCCATGAAATCCTTTTCACAATCGCCCATAAAGACAGAAATACCTACGCAGTCACCTTCTACGGGAAGCGAGAAGCATGAGGAGGTCGTGGGTGGCGAAGTGACTGTGAAGCTGGAGCCGGGTCATCCCCCCAAGCTCGCTCGCAGCAGCTCCCACAAGATTATATCTAAGCCAGCTCCTTTATTTCACGATCACCCGAGTAAGACCGAAGAGTCCAGACATACCTTCCAGGTGCTAGAACAATGTTCCTACACTTCGAAGTACATTGGGTCTACGGAGCATGGCTCTATGGATTGCGACTGCGCAGAGGAGTGGGGTAAGCCAACTCCACATGCTTGTAACCCTGTTTGTGCAGGCATACTGAATATTCGGTATAGATAGCTTCACGAAGACCAACTCAGCATGTGGGCACGACTCAGACTGCATCAATCGTGCGACGAAGATGGAATGTGTCAGCGATTGTGGATGTGGAGCTGAGTGCCAAAACCAAAGATTCCAACGACGACAATTCGCAGACGTGACGGTCTTCAAAACAGAGAAGAAAGGTTATGGTCTACGAGCTGATACAGATCTTAATCCTGATGATTTCATTTACGAGTATATTGGAGAGGTCATCGACGAAGCCCGCTTCCGCCGCCGCATGGTCCAATACGACGAAGAAGGCATCAAGCATTTCTACTTCATGTCCCTCACGAAAGGTGAATTCGTCGATGCCACTAAGAAAGGCAACTTGGGGAGATTCTGCAACCATTCCTGTAATCCAAATTGTTACGTGGACAAGTGGGTGGTGGGTGAAAAACTTCGAATGGGTATCTTTGCCGAGCGGAAAATCAAAGCCGGAGAAGAACTTGTATTCAATTACAACGTTGATAGGTATGGTACTGATCCACAACCTTGCTATTGTGGTGAGCCCAATTGCACTGGCTTCATCGGTGGTAAGACTCAAACCGAGCGTGCAACTAAATTGTCAAATACAACAATCGAGGCCCTCGGTATCGAAGATGGCGATGGTTGGGATACCGCCGTCGCGAAGAAGTCCCGCAAGAAGAAGGTTGGGGAAGAGGATGAAGAGTACGTCAACAATGTCCAACCCAAATCCCTGGATGAGGATGGCGTCACCAAGGTCATGGCCACCTTAATGCAATGCAGGGAGAAATGGATCGCCGTCAAGCTGCTAGGTCGAATCCAGCGCTGCGATGACGAACGAGTGCGTAATCGGGTCGTCAAGATGCATGGATATCAAATCCTCAATTCGACCCTAATTCTATGGAAAGAGGACTTCAACGTCGTTCTACAAGTCTTCGATATCCTCGGCAAATTCCCTCTTCTAACACGAAACAAGATCAACGACTCCAAGATAGAAGCAACTGTCGAGAGTTTGAAAGATTGTGGCGATGACATGGTGAATTCACAAGCTCAGGGGCTCTTGGATGCATGGAGTAAACTCGAAGTCGCTTACCGCATACCTCGTAAGAAGCGCGATGTACTAAACAACACGACTACCACCACCCCGGAATTTACGAATCGCTCGGGACGGCGGGATTCAAGTCGCGAAGAACGAAAGGCGCGCTCCAGGTCCCGTTCACGATCGAAGTCCAGGTCACGCTCACGATCAATCGACGCTCCAAAAGGACCAGCAGCACCCAATGGCCCACGGTCAAACTTCCCTCAGCGAGGTCCTGGTTTCTATAATGGGCCCAGAGGTCCCTATCGGTCGCGACCTTTCGGTGCGTTGCCTGAAGGCTGGTTTGCGGCGCAGGATGACGACGGCAGGACGTATTACTACGATCTGAGTGGCAAAACGACGTGGCAGAGACCCACGATGGTAGCGCGGCCACCACCCCCTCCTCCTAAACCTACTTCTACAAACAAAGCGCTTGAAGACATAATCAACCAGATCACGAGTGCGAAAGCCAATACCCCGAAAGAGAAACCAGCACCCTCGGCGACCCCGCAGGCCGTCAATGGCAACGCAAAAAAGGATACCAAAGGTGGCCCAGAAAAGTGGCGTACTTACGGGGAAGAGAAGCAGAAGAAATTATATGAGAACACGGTAAGCCAAGAATGACTAGGCGTGAAATGTTACGCAGATGCTAATAGAGACAAAGCTGTTTCCACATATCAAGTATGTAATGGACAAATTCAAGGGCAAGCTACCGAAGGACGATCTGAAGCGTTTCGCGAAAGAGGTGAGACCGTACTGATGGATGCACCGTAGATGGTTCGCTAACAGACGGCGTGCGAAGATTTCGAAGAAGCTTGTGAGCTCGGATTTTAAGAACCATAGGGTAGAAGATCCCACCAAGATTTCGTCTCGACAAGAAAAGCACGTGAAGAAGTATGTCAAAGACTACTTTGACAAAGCGGTTGCCAAGAAACGAGAGCATGAAAAGAACAAAGCCGAGCGAAGGAGCAAGGAAGGAGAGTCGGCAGCATCACCTACTTCGGCAACGGTTGCTGAGGTGAAGAAGGAGGAAGAGGAAAGCGATGGGGATCAGGATATGGCAATGTCGGATGACGAGGAATATGAGAAGCCGAAGCTGGAGTCAGCAACACCTGTGACACCATCAGACCAACTGTTGCAAGCCGAGGGACTCAAGCGTAAGAGAGTCAACGATGAGGATCCTGCTAGCATGAAGCTCGAGTACAATGAAGCGACGCCAAGCAAGCGGCTCAAATCAGAGAGTCCACCGCCGCCGCCGCCGCCACCGCCCCCAGCCGATGGCACACCTCCGGATCCAATGTCTTTCTCCAACGGAGAAATGGATGATGTTAATCAACATAACTATGAGGCCAATAGATCGCTAAGCGACATAGAGTCAATGGGAGTGTCGCCAGAAAACAATCGTGACGTTCTCCCACACCGATCCACTTCAAACGATACCACAAGAGCGGTCGAAGATGATGTTGATATCTCAGGCAATGCCCACACTCCAGATACACCGAGCGACCCGGAGTATGATGAGCATGAACGACTTTTTGGTGGCCATGGGCAGAGGCATCTTTCTGATATCGAGGTACATGGGGCCGCGTAAGAATCTATCAACGTACCTCAAAAGGACGTTGACTTGGGCCATGGTGGGAGCAGCTTCCAGGGTATCTCGAAGGTATCTTGTAAAATAGGCCGAATGACAATAGACCAGGCGGGCAGGAGGGGCATTTCTCGCAGCCAGCCTCGGTTACGTTTGCAAATATCAATTTTTCTTGCTGCTGAGTCTGTATCTACTCATACGTTCGGTTTGAAAGTCTCGACAAAAGGAAGTAGAAGTGAACAAGGTAGCTGAAGGGTTAAGTAACAAAAAAGACGACGGATAAGGTAGAGTAACCCTGCAACGTTAATACTTTAGGTACTACAGTAGTACTCGTGCAACATGAGGAAGCTTCAGAGCGGTCACCACCGTTGCTTAAGCGCCAACTTCCAACCACCAAACTTTGCCCCTCGAGCTCCTTCACTTCCCGCCCCCACCCTCCCAAGTCGTCCCACAAATGTCAATGGATTGGACCTAGGTAACCCGTATTCTTGTCCATCCGACTGCAATCCAATTGCCATCCAATTGCCATCAGGAGGTAATCATCTTGGAAAATTCCGCAAGACAGGACATAAACCAAAACCCCTCTACCTGAACCCTCTGCAACCGACCCCGCATTTGGTCAAACAGAGCAGGCCGTAGTGTATCACAACACCACCTCTCTGCCTCCTTAACCCCAGGATAACCTCGGCCATGTCTTCCATCCTTCGGGCATCGTCTCGCCTCCGGCCTCTCACTTGTCTCTCTATCATAAGGCCCATCACAACAACGACCAAACCCGCGGCCAGTATGGCGACTGCACAGGTAGCTGAGCAGACGGGCTCTGAGAGACCTTTCTTTCCTGACGAACCTTTCAAACCACACATGCGTACTGCAATCCCCGGTCCGGAGAGTAAGAAGGCCATCGAGGATTTAGACAAGGTCTTTGATACGAGAAGTCTGAACATGATGGTCAATTACCAGAACAGCTTTGGAAATTACATTGCCGATCTGGATGGGAACGTCTTGCTTGACGTATATGCACAAATCGCTTCAATACCAGTAGGCTACAGTAACCCGACACTGCTTGCAACCGCAACTTCGCCAGAGATGGCCAGCGCAATCATCAACCGCCCAGCCCTAGGCAATTTCCCCCAGCACGACTGGGCAGAAATCCTCCGGACTGGCGTCCTTAAAGTTGCACCAAAAGGTCTTGACCAGGTCTTCACAGCAATGGCAGGTTCCGACGCCAACGAGGTGGCATACAAGGCCGCTTTCATGTGGAAACGCCGCCAAGAACGTGGTGGCGCCGATGTTGAATTCTCTGCCGAAGAGATATCCTCGGCCATGAATAATAAGTCTCCCGGCTCTCCTCACATGTCAATCCTTTCCTTCAAATCTGCCTTCCACGGTCGCCTATTCGGAAGTCTTTCTACTACGCGCAGCAAACCAGTTCACAAGCTCGACATCCCAGCCTTCGACTGGCCTCAAGCGTCATTTCCTCTCCTCAAGTACCCTCTTGCGGAGAATGCAAGTGAGAACGCGGCCGAAGAGGCACGCTGCCTTGCCGAGACCGAAGACCTGATCAAGACCTTCCACAATCCTGTTGCAGCTGTAGTAGTCGAGCCTGTCCAGTCCGAAGGCGGAGACAATCACGCCTCTCCAACATTCTTCAGGGGCCTTCGCGAAATCACAAGACGACACGACGTTATGTTCATCGTTGACGAGGTACAGACTGGTGTTGGTGCGACGGGGAAGTTCTGGGCGCACGACCATTGGAACATGGCCGACCCACCGGATATGGTCACGTTTTCGAAGAAAGCTCAAACGGCCGGCTACTACTTCGCAAACCCCGATCTCCGACCTAATAAACCATACCGTCAATTCAATACCTGGATGGGAGATCCAGCCCGAGCCATCCTCTTCAGAGCCATCATTCAGGAAATCGAGAGACTCAACCTGGTTGAATCCACTGCCCAAGTTGGCGAGTACCTCTACTCGGGACTTGAGAGACTGGCGGAGCGCTATCCCAACGAGATTCAGAATCTGCGTGGGAAGGGCCAGGGCACATTCCTTGCATGGGACAGCCCTAGGAGGGATGACACTTTGAAGAGGGCGAAGGGGTTGGGAATTAACATTGGAGGCAGCGGAGAGAGGGCCGTCAGGTTGAGGCCAATGTTGGTTTTCCAAAAGCATCATGGTGAGTTTGTTTTCTGTCGTCCTGGACCGGGCGACTTTGCAAAGGCACGAAGCTGACATTCGAATTCTTCATTAGCGGACATCCTCCTTGAGGCGACTGAAAAGCTGGTTTCGACATGATGGATGCTACTCTGACATGGGCATGATTCTCTGAGCAAGCGAACAACCATGTCTATCTTCGATTGAAGGAAAAATACCCACGCATAAGAACATACGGTATACGGCTCCTGACGTGATGCTATATGCCCTTGTTGTCCGAGAGTTCGAAGAATCTCCGAACGATACCGGCTCCAACCTCGCTTTCCTGCAACCAATTTTATCTGATCTCTGAGCCGTAACAGTCAAGAACATCGTCATCTGCGAGGCTCCTCTCTTGAGTATCTCTAGTCTCCGAGACTCTCTAACCTCTCAGTCATGTCCGCGACGGCACTTCCATCACTACGCCGTAATCGATTACACTGACGCAATTTTGCATCGAGGTTGTGGACGACTTGTAGCGCTTGAGAGACTCAACAATCGACTCTTTGGGAGAGGTTTCCGTTGGGGGCTGCAGGAGTTAAATGGCAAGAGCAACGAAGAAGAGGCATCAATGAGATGCTTTCGCACGAGGTGGGCCAGAGTGTGGGAACACGGTACCGAGGAGCAGCGAATGCTGGTACAAGGACGTTTATCATGAGTCAATTTAACATTTGATGCTTCAAGCTTCAAGCTTCAACCTCCACGCCTCCCTCCAATTTATCTATGTACCTCCTGCGCCGAACTCATCATAAACCTAGATAGGAAAACTCCTCATCCTGTTTAGCAGCTTGCCCTAACTTGGGATTGATATCCAACAAAGCTTTATCATAATCCGTCCTAGGTTCCTTCTTTGTCGGGCTTGGCGGCCCTGGTAAGATCGTTCCACCACCACCACCACCACCACTCTCCACATTCGACATCATCCTCATACTCTGGCTACCTCGGCTACCGAGCCGTATCTTATAATGGTGCGATCCATCGCTCGTGTTTGCGTAACCGGACGAGGTACGAAGTCCCAGGGAGCGGAGGTAGGGCTGGTTGTCGACGCAGTGGGGGAAGTATTTTTGAAGGATGAGGGTATACAGCTGATGGGCGGCGGGGGTAGAGGCGACGATGATGCCGATATTCTGTTCGAGGCAAGACCAGAACACCACGGGCACGGTGTGCCCTGAGAGACGACGCGTCAACATCGAGACAGGATTTTGATGCTTTTGGTTTAGGTCTGGACGAGACGCAATGCTTACAGGTAAAGTCCTTGTCTGCGAAGGAGACGGACGTGGCTCTGAGAATCGCGCATGCGGCAGTGCTTCTAGGACGTCAGTCTCGCAGCTTTGACCGGTGTCTCGTGGCATCTCACAAGAGGCCAAGTCCGAGGAGGACGAAAAGACTGATCTTCCGGCCGAGTTTCGCCTGTAGATTCCGGAGGAAGAATATGGGCAGGCCGACGCACAGGAAGTCCATCAAGGCCGCGGCACCTGAGTCCGCATCAGTGTTTATTCAGATTCCAAGATGTGGAGCCACATGCCACACTGGGTCTTGGCGATGATGGTCAAATCTAAGGGTGGGATGCAACGCGCCTTGGTTTCCCTGTCCCACGTACCCTGAATCGGGATACATGCGAGGAGGATGGACAGCAAAGTAGCAGTGCTCATGACGGCGAAGAATGCGAGGAAGATGTATGTGTACTTGAAGTATTCCCGGTGTGTGGGAGGTACGATACGTAGAACCAAGAGACACACAGAGACTCTGACGAGAAAGGTCCCAATAGTATAGAGAACCTCAAGGATTTGAGTCATGAGAAGGACATTGCGGATCTGGTCAGGCTGTAAGTACTCGATATGTCGTCCAAACCCGTTGTCCACCCCAAAGGTTGTGACGATGCCCTGGGCAACAGCAAAGCCCTGAAGGATGCCGTTAGCGGGCAACTGTCTCGGAGGGACTTCCTGTGGATCAGCTTACCATAGCAATCACGATCGTCCAGTCATCGGCGCCTGCTGTTTTACGGAGAAATGCTCGAGTATACACACGCAACAAAACGAGCAATGATGCAATGGACACGGTGATCCATTGATTAGCGATTAGGCTGGGTCCACGACTTTCGTTTGGGGGCAATGGGACAGACATTGTTCAAGTGGATAGCAAGATGGAGGAAGAGGGAGGGAGAAGAAAGAAGACGATGATGAATGAGAGAAGTTGGACGGTATGGGTTTCGGAAGTACAAGGCACGATGCCTATACAAGAGTAGGGAGGAGTCAAATTATTAAAATGCTCTAGCAGCCAGCCAATCCGGCAGTGACGGAAGTCTCGTGTCCAGGAAAGAGTCTGTCAGAGGCACTATAGGCCGGAATGGTAGCCCATGACCGTCCTGCTTGCCTTTGCCTTTCCACATATCCTGCCACAAGTCTCGGAACTTGATTTCACGTCTAGGATTAAAGGATTGGCTGGACGGGATGAGTCTTGATTTCAAATCCATCAATTGCCAACGTCTTGGGTGACAGGATCTCTCATGATTGTAAACGCAAAGATCGTACTTCATCATGTATATTGCGAATCATGACCAGTTGAGCGAAGAGGTAACGTTAAGGTCGTGAGCAACCTGGAGGAGAAAGGTCCCGGACCACGGGCGGCAATCGGGGTGGCTGGAACCCTAAGAGCGTCCCTAAATCGAAGCTCTCTAGGTGCGGAAATGCCCCAAACGCAGGCTTTGGATCAAAGTAGAGTTCCCGAGTACTTTCAAGCCGGACACGACTAAGGGTGGCAGACAACCTTCAGCATTGTAGTCCCACAGATAGTAGCTCAAGCTAGAACTCGAGCACACTTCGACCATTCGCGAGGTATCTGTCGACAACAGGGACCAACCTGGAGCAAAGAGCAAAGCCTTGCTGATGATGGTGATGACCATCCTAGTGTTTGCACCATATCCTCCCGATCCGAAACTCGAAGCGCCGCCAAAACTCAGAGTCTCGGTCGAAAGTTGATGTTTGCGGGCTAGATCCTACACCCATTTGATAACGTCGTGGCCAAGAACGCCGCAGCCAAAGCTGCACAGAACGTCACAACTTTCGTCACCCTTAGGCCAGCAGCTCCACTTATGCCCGTCCATGGGCGGTTGCACCTAACCTCACCCCCGGGATGAGGATTAGGACTTCCGTAACTGTAATTCAAGCCATGCCCTTCTAAGGGACATGCGAATTGCAAAGCAGCGGGACAACTCCGGATGAGGTTATAACATATGTCTTTGCATGGTAGCAGCTCCTTATACGGACCAGGTCGGATTACAGCATCAATCATGGGGTTACGACTGCTGTGGAAGGAGATCCTACTGCGGTTATGCGGGCTGAATGCCAAGTCCCCATTAATCCCAGCAATTGCGTAGGATGAGTTGGTGAATGAATGATTCACCGCCCTGGGCTGCATGTACGGAGCCGGATTCGAGATATCCTCGCATCTGGGTATAGTGACCGCGCAAAGCCACTGTCTGTAAGCGGCGTCGCAATCGCTACAGTTTCTGGCAAGCGAATACTGAGCGGAGGATGTAGTGTTGCACGGAATTTGTTGGAGTGAGTTCGTAAAGTTTTGATAGAGACTATGAGCGTATTGATCGTACTGTTGAGCGAGAAGTTCTGTTGAGTTGAAAGTTTTAGGATTAGCCGGAGCAGCGTATGCAACGGAAGTGCAAAAGGGCAGGTTGAAGAGAAGGGCGCAATTGTCGTCTGGAATAACGCTGTTAGATTCAGCAATAGGGCAGGTGAATGTCGAAGGACTAACAAGACTTGGTCGTGATATTTGATGGGTTCCACACTGTGCCTCCACCACCCACGACGCCGGACCCTTGGTCTGTGGAGTTGCCAATCATAGCTGCTACGGCGTAATATTTCGAGCTCCAGTTAAGATTCTTTACATAGAATTGTTGTTTTGGTAGGCTATCACCAGCTGCTGTCATAACAGTTTCGACATCTGGGGGACCTTGGATCTGTGCCAGATTTTGCAATCCGCATACTGAGTTCTGCACGCCGAGTATGGAAGGATTGTCCTGATTCTGCACGAACAAGCTAAACACTGGTGGTCTGTTCATCCATTGCTGAAACGTAGGATTTGAGGAATGCGTGGTACTGGTTGTATTCTTCGTGTAGAGGAGCGCGGAATTTGTGTCGCTATCAACAATATAAACATTGGGGTCGCTGTATGAAGAGGCATAAAAGTCATCAATAGATGCCGTGAGCTGATAGTTATAGACCCCATCATAGCCCTCATTTGCAGGAGCATAGACCCCAAAATATACATCATTCTTGACGGATATGTTCAACCAGCCAAAGCCCCCAACAATTAGCACGACATGATCACAATTGTTCTGATCAGGCTGTTGATTGTTGGAAGATGTTGAAACGTAGAGCATCAACTGATGTGGGGCAGCAGTTTGATTAGGGTCTGTCGCAAGCGGCTGCTCGCAAGTCGTAAGACTTATGTAGAGTTCTATTTCGCCTGGGGCATCTGGAGTGACAGAGACGTTTTGCCCCTCGAAGTATGATGGAAGGCCAGGTGTCTGAGGCGAGTTGGGTCCAAATAACGTTGTACTGGGAAAAGTCCAGTATTGGCTAGCGCTTTGACCAATATTCAGGATGCCTGGGGCATTGTTCCCCAATGCTGGAATGACTTCTCCAGCTCTGCCGATGATGCTTCGATCAGCGCCAGCGAACTCTGGCTCATATCTTTCTAGATTATGTCCTACATCAACCTCAAAAGCACTATGTGATCGTGGGTGGTTGTCATCCTTATGGGTTATCGAGTCCTCGTGTGCTGCAAAGGCATGTTGAGTGAACAGAGCGGCTGTAGAGGCGAGAAGAAGGGGAAGAGAGGCAAGGGGCGGGGGCACTGTTCGTCGCGGAAGATACGCGCTCCTAGGTAGTCGCATGGGTGAAGGGAGTAGGCCAGCTCGCTCTCCCAGCAGTGGAACCTCGAGCGTCGGTTCAAAGGCACTGGCAATGGCGAGTGCGCAAGGAAGCTGACGGTTTAGACGGCAACATCGAGATGAGAGTGCCCACAGTCCAAGCTGCTATCAGAAACGGCGTAGGGAGAGATGCTCAAAGGAACATTTGTTGTTGGAATTCTAGTGCTGACAGACAGACGTTGATACTTTTACTTGTTGGAACCTGAGATGATCTACGCCGGCTCCGCTTGCTGTTTCAAGTTCTGTCTGCTGTCGGCAAAGCTGCACTATTGACCGTCACTAAGTAAAGACCATGGTCGAACAGCTTGCATGAACTGCATATTTTCATGATTGCAGAGATTTCCATGGAGACGCTATACAGGCCGTATTACGTTGGAAGCGCTCTGCGATGACCGGAAGACGCCTCCTTGATATAGCAGCCATATTCAAGGCTTCCCAAGGCGTTGCTGCAAAGCATGTCGCCCTCCGCCAACACCAGTTGGACGTTTACAGCAAGACATCCTCTCTTGCTAAAGCTGTTAAGTCACAGACTGACCGAGTCACCCTCACGGTGAAAGCTGCCTCGGTTTTGGCAGAACGTTTCAATGGACCCGAACCCGATTATTCTACGCAGGCTTCGCAACCAAGAAAGTCTACCCAGGGTGCGCCCATACCCAGTCAAGATGGGGCTTCTGGGACAACCGAGGGATCGGTGAAGAAGGATGGTCTTTCCCAGGATCATTTCTACGAAAGACCAGACCAGAATGCTGCTGCGGATCCTCCACCAGATGCTAATCTAGGTGTGAGGCAAGAAAAGGCGAAAAGATACCCGCTACCCGATGGATCAATGCTTCCAGCAGATACTGCTGAAGTGCCAGAGCGAGATAAAGACTCATACAACGAGTTGCCGCAAACAGAACCCGCGAAAGCCCCGTTAGCTGATGGAAGAGAGGAGACAGACGAGGGCCTACAGCCCACTCTATCAGGCAGAACGAGTATTCCAAATCCTACAAAGGGAACAGATCCTGTGATCGCTGAGAAATCTAAAACCCTACAACGGCAGGCAGAAAAGCGGACCCTATTTCAGGCCGTTGAGCTTTCACCTCCCGCCCATTCTGAGGAGCTAGATTTGAAAGCAGATCAAGATTGGGATGTCTTCTACACGCCTTTGTCATCAGATGGACAGGTACATTCAGCTCTGCCGCGTGTCACAGTGCCAAAGGATACGGAAGACGCCCAAGAAAGTGATAAGCATGTCTCTGATGCTCAAATCAATCAAGATGTCTTCTCCTCTGCATCTTCTAAAATGGAAGAACGGCCCGTTCCGCAAGCACAAGCTGTTCCAGAGCAAGAGCAACTTTCCGACGAAGCGTACACCGAGTTGTTTCACAGTCCAAGGGTAGCTAGGATGTTGGGTGGTCACCCCAAGCCGAGCAAGCCTCTACATGAGAAGGACCAGGTCTCATCCAGTGTTCGGACATCAGGACAAGAGAGTCAAGACGGAGCTCAAAATCCGCCAGCCGGGATCGTAGATTCAACGCCTTCTCAAGCCAAGAGCAGCGAGGATATGCACGACCTAATCACAGACATGGCCGAAGACGCGGAAGCCAGGTCCGCGGATCCGTCTCAGGCAAGTTTCGTACGAGACATATTCATAATTTGGATACTGATTGACTGACAGCGTCTTCCTAGCTACCAACAGACCTTGAACCAGGTCCAACAAAACCTCCATACAAGATGCAAGAATCTCGGGTGCCGTCTTCTCGGTTTGGCAGATTTTGGCAATACGGAGGTCTAGCCACGTCCATGGCTTTTGGGGCAGTTGGCGAAAGCCTCCGTCGCGCTACAGGAGGCAGTGGTGATGCTGTTGGGTCTTTGATGCTCAGCGCTGGCAATATGGAAAGACTCGTGGCCAAGCTATCCAGGATGCGAGGTGCGGCCCTGAAATTGGGGCAGATGATGAGCTTTCAAGGTCGGTCACCACCTACTACTCCCTGCACAATCGCTCATGCTCGCCAAAGATTCGAGAATGCTGCCAGGACCGATCAACGAAGTTTTGCAACGAGTCCAAGACAGCGCCGACTACATGCCCGCATCTCAACGTAACAAAGTTCTTGCAAGTAACCTCGGCGCAGATTGGCGCGATCTCTTCTCCTCTTTCGACGAAAAGCCTCTAGCAGCCGCATCCATTGGCCAAGTCCACAGCGCTATTCTGAAATCCTCAGGCCAGCGTGTCGCAGTGAAGGTCCAATACCCAGGCGTCGCCGACTCCATCGATAGCGACCTCTCGAACCTCTCCATACTTCTCACCGCGTCCCGCCTTCTCCCCAAAGGCCTCTTCCTAGACAAGACGATTGCGAACGCCCGAACCGAACTAGCCTGGGAATGCGATTACGTCCGCGAAGCCGAGATGGGCGAACGCTTTCGTGGTCTTCTCGCTGATGAAGAAGATGTATTCCACGTACCAACTATCATATCCGAAGCCTCTGGCCCACAAGTCCTAACCGCAGAATTCCTCCACGGCACCGGTGTAACCAAAGTCCAAAACTTCACTCAAGAGCAACGAGACTGGATCGGCACCCAGATACTACGTCTCTGCCTGCGCGAGATCACAGAGTTCAGGTTCATGCAGACCGATCCCAATTGGACAAATTTCCTCTACAACGCCTCAACTCACAAACTCGAGCTCCTTGATTTCGGAGCCAGCCGAGAATTTCCGGACCATTTCATAGAGCCCTACATCCGCACCCTGCTCGCTGCTTCTCGCTGCGACCGCGCTGCCGTCCGCGACTTGAGCATTCAATTGGGGTATTTGACGGGGCATGAAAGTCAGGCTATGCTCAACGCGCATGTCGGTTCCGTATTGACGCTTGCGGAACCGTTCGCCGAGAATGCAGCAGAGGTCTACGATTTTCGGGATCAGACGATTACGGATAGGGTGAGGGGGTTCATACCCGTGATGGTAAGGGAAAGGCTGGCGCCACCACCGGAGGAGACGTATAGTTTGCATCGGAAACTGAGTGGGGCTTTTTTGCTGTGTGCAAAATTGGGGGCTAGAGTTCGATGTCGAGAGATGTTTGCAAACGCCATGAGCTCTGCTCATATCGAATAAAAGCCGTGGTGTTTCGCTACAAGATTGGTTGGAGCCCTTTCAGGTTTGACAATCAATGCACATGTAGAAGTACAGCATTAGCTTCTTTCTGATTGGATTTATGTACAATATTCATGCTGCTGTTCCATGAGCACACTTCTAAGCTGCTAGCACAGTACTTTTGGTTCCATTGTTTGGCAATTTGGATCTTAGTATTAGTCCCGGGTACTGCCTCAAATCAGTGCCGTTGTTCCAATCAGGCTGGTAAGGCAACTGATTGATGTTGAAGTAGATGTAGCCATCGAATCCAACGTTCGATGAATCGGGCCAAATGATTCGTGGATCCCGAACATACGGCTCCGCCTGCAACGTCGTGGAGTTGTAAATGTAAATGGCGTTCTGCTCCGGCATGACTTGTTGATTTTGGAGTCAGCATTGGTCCTTAGGAAGGAATTCTGAGTCGCGAGACATGTCTTAGGAGCAGAGAACTCTTTAGGCGCGTCTGACGACTCATAAGACAGCATGGATGGGGAAGAAATGCCTCGGAAAGTATAACTTACGCATGTACACAGCTCCGTTACTATCGGCGCTGAAACCATTGGCGTTCCCGCCTCGCTGGCCAAGGTTTTTGACATTATTCGATGCTCGTTGCGAGCTTAGGACGTCATCCATGGGATTCGAACGGAGATACTGCGTTTCAATGCTGTAGAGATAGTCGCTTGTCAGAGGTGAATAGTACATCACGTCGCCGTACAAGGAGAGCTCGATGCCATCGAGCCCTTCCTGGATATTGGTCAGAGCCAAGCCGGGACTGCGTTGATAGAAGGGCATTCCTTGATATGAAGGCACATCCTCGAAAGTTCGGAGTGTAGACTAGGACATGGTTTCAGAGTCAGTGTCGCCTATCCGAGAGGGTGTGTTGAGCCTTGGAACATGTCTACAGAGTATACACTCTCAAGATATGTCTAAAGGCTCAAGATCTGGTCCAAAAGAGGAGATATAAACTCGAAACACACGTACTGGATGCTGGGTTAGCTGGCGCCATGACTGTCCGGTACCAAGATCGAGCATGATAAAGCCCGTACGGCCCTCGTTGCTGCTGTCATTGATGTACGCTATGCCCTTGCCTGATGCCGTGGCGTTCGCACGCATATCAAATCGGAGGTCGTTCATGTAGGAATCTGGAAAGTGAACGCTTGACGGGAAATTGTAGGTTCGAATGATTGAATTACTCGTCAGATTGAGAGCTACCAGCTTTGGCCCGCCAGGAGACGCGTATGGCATGGTAAGCATTTCTGTCTCGTTCGTGCTGGGTCTTCCAGTATCGAGAACCCAGAGCGTATCATCGGGAGTAATGAACAGGGCTTGAACGCTAATGAAGCTGTCCGTAGAGTTGCTACCGAAAGGGATACCGTTAAGTGAAGTAGACAGGCCTCCGGGAGGAGTATTTAATTCTAGGTTTGGATAGGGGACTTCGGCTGTAGTATTGAAGACCTCGCCCAAGGTGTATGCCTAGAAGGTACTCAGTCATCTGAAGCATATGGTAAGGCGATAAGGTTCACTAACGTATGTTCCCCTTGTATAACAGACGAAAATGCGACCTTGCTTTGAAACCGCCAGTCCGATTGGCCATTGATCATAGTAATAATGGACTTCTTCAACTGGTGGACCGGTTAAGCCAGAATCGCGGCGAACATTTGCATATGTCAGATTCTGATATGTAATGGACTGAGTTGACTGAGCAGCTGCAAAGCATGACAGACCGCCGACGGCCAAGAGGATATTGAGCTTCATACTGCCGAATTGATGCAGTATTGAGGTGTTGAGTATGGAGAGTATGCTGATGAAAGCGTTGCTTGCTAGAAGAGAAGCTATCAAGCGAAGAGTCTGAAGCAATGTAGAAGCAAAAAGCGAGAGGAGATGGCAGACAGCATTGCCATTAGCAAGTATGGAATTATTTAAGAGCCGTACGTTCCTTCCCTTGCATCATCATTGCGTCGTCGGAAGGGTTTGGGTCTAGACTCTCTCTCGAGAGAGAGAGAGAGAGATGGAAAGCACTCGAGGCAGTCTCTTTGGAAGCAGGTGGCCTTGCTCTGTATGTGTATCCGTGATTGAGCATTGCCGATGGTTTGACGCTACCAAAGAAGTTGATAGAGCAAGTGGTAGAGTAAGTTGATGAGAATTGTTAACAATCACGGCAGTCAATTCTAGCGACGAGGGAGGAAGGGCATAAGGATAAAGTAGACATACACTAGACAGAATCCGTCATTCGGTCTTTCTTTTCACCATCGCCGGATGCCGGATGCCGGATGCCAGATACCCGATGCAAGGCATCTCTCCCCACAATTCATTACTTTAGCGCACGCTTTCATACTTTATACTTGAGTCGCTTTCACTGCTTTCAAAACATGGTCAGCCAATGATATGAAATGCACTAGGAATATAAATTACATGTAAAGCAATGTACATATGTACGTACCTGTATTCCGGCAGCTTGATAACATGCCAAAGCTTTAAAGAACAAATACTTACTTTAGAGTATGACAAATTCAAAACCCTGTTCCGGGGATTAACATACCTTAGCCTACCTTTAGCGTGTCTTACATAAATCCAGCGGCGAAAGCTCTGGTGTGACTTTCGTCATCCGACTGAAACGGGTGCCCTCTTGAACGTACTTATTCTCACTGGTCTAGGCTGACCGTGTCAAAGATTACTCCGACTTCACACAAATAACACCATGAATATGCATCGATAACACACACCCTCATTCCAAGTACTTAAACCAGCAGACCATCTTCCTCCTTTCCTTCATCCCTCTTCTTCCTCTTCAGCATCACCGCAACCGATACACCAAAGACACTCATCCTTTAGCAACTGAGCTCCCACCTGCACTCTACCCTTCTTGACCAGTCAGCTTCACGCCATCCGTTGAGTCAAGATGGCAGCAAGCAAGATCCTTCAAAACGAGTACAAGGCTCTATCCCAAGAGAAATGGGTCAACGTTGAGGTCAGCCTTCGGCCAATCACATCAACCCACAATGAAGCCTCACTAACCTCTCTGCAGCTCAACAACGATGACATTTTCAACTGGAACGTTGCTCTTATTGTTATCAATCCTGATTCCCTCTATTACGGTGGCTACTTCAAAGCCAAGATGAATTTTCCCCACAACTACCCCTACACCCCTCCTTCTTTCCAGTTCAACCGTGCCCTCTTCCACCCAAATATCTACGCGGATGGGAAACTCTGCATCTCCATCTTACATGCCCCAGGCGACGATGAGATGTCCGGCGAGAGTGCTGGGGAACGCTGGTCACCAGCACAACGTGTGGAATCCATCCTCCTTTCCATCATCTCGCTCCTCGATGACGCCGAGTGCTCCTCTCCAGCCAATGTCGATGCTGGTGTGATGCTGCGGAAGAACACGGAAGGTTTCAAGAAAAAGGCCAAGGCAGATGTGGAGAAGGGTAAAGAGGATATCCCAGCAGGCTTCGTCATGCCGACACATGAATCTACGGCGAGGATACCGGAAAAACCTGTCGATGATCGAGAGTTCTGGGTCGATAGCGACGATGAGGATGATTTTGGGGGAAGTGACACCGATGCCGAGATGACGGAGGACGGGAATGATGGTCTTCCGGACGACGAGGATCAAGAAGAGGGTGATGACGAAGATCCAGAGAACGAGGATGATGAAACCCTTTAGGGAGCGGGCAGCACAAGCTCAGCTACAGATCGCCAACCTGCAAACTTCGCCCCTCCTTACTCGCCTTTGTTAGACATTTGCTTTGATCGCGGCATAGCGAACGGTGTTCACAAGGCGTTGGTGGTCCTTGTCCCTGCATATCATTGGTGGGTCATTATCACGGACGGAGTCCACATACATGGCGCTGGAGGTCGTGCCAAATTGGAGTCACAGCAGGAGGCTGGTGGAATGCTCGACTTACCTGGGCCTTACCCTGAACGATCAAATCTAATAGCATAGAATTAACACAATCAGACACCCAAACAGTGCAGTCATTCATTCAATGTCGTTGATGCTCACGAACATCTTCTCTCCTGGATGTCAGCGACTGAAACTAGGTCTCTTTACAACGAATAGAATACTTTTCAATCGCTACTACTGATAAAGCGTGCTACTCGAAATATCCAAATTCTAACCACCCAGCTGACCTTGCTCGTCGTTTTGGATAGCCGATGTTTGCACCCACTGTGCACAATGTCCAAGCGAGGCAATCTACCCTTCCCTTTCCCGCCCCTTCCGTTTCTCGGCACTCCTCGCCGCCAACCTCGCCTTTGCAGCCGCTGCCCTCTCAGCCGACAACGCCGAACCTCTGGCCGAGGTCATGGTGCTGGTCCGACTGCCTACCCTTGACGTGAAGCTCGACGATCGACCCAGGGTAGCCGTCGAGGGTTTGACACTGGGCCTAAGGATCGCCTTTGACGGCTCGAGTTCAGCAGGACTTGAGGTGAGATCAAGCGTGGCCGGTCGTGGCGAGCTGATGGTGGGTCTCCGATTATGCGTGCGGTGAATTGGTGGTGACATGCCTGATTGAGGCTGAGGCGTGGTTTGTGTAGGTGGTTTGTGGGCATCATTTGCCTGCGAGAGATGGATCTTAGGATTCGACTTGGTCCCCGGATGCTGTTCAGGGATAAGGTTCTGATCAATCTCCTTTAGCGTCCGTTGTATGTCGTGTCTGACACTGGAAGGAGGAAGCTCCGGGGGTAATTTCGAGAGTGATCCACCGTCAACGGCATCTCTGGGACTGCTCAATGTCCATATATCGACCACAGACTTTTGCAATCTGCTCTTGCGAGGCGAAAGGTATACCTTGGAGACGCGATTCTGCTCAACAGGCCCATGATCCAATTCATCGCCAGTTGCGAGCGCCCCTTCTGATGATTTTGGGTTCCCATCAAGTCCTCTTAGATCGTCCGAGCACGCCGGTGGTTGTGGTTGAGCTAGACCTTCGGCTTTTGATGGCTGACCAGAGGCAAGCAGGAGATTTTGATGCTCGACGGTAAGCTTCGCAAGTTGAGCTTCGCATACCTTCTGATCGGCCTTGCACTTTGCTTCCCTTCTCTTGAGCCTCTCTTCTCTTGCTTGCCGCCGTGATTCATAGCTCATCATCTCCCCTTTGACTCTCGCTAGGCTTCGCTTGAGTGCACCGTTCTCAGCTTCGAGCTTCGCGGCTTGATCTTCTGCTTTTTTCGCACTCATACGCAAGCTCTCCAGTTGGGCGTGTAACATGTCTTTTTCTGCGGACCGAGCAACAATTTCTGGAGAATTTGCCTCCTTGGTTGAGCATTCATCAGTCTCTTCCATTGCCTGGATATCATCTCGTTCGCCAACTGAGCCATCAGCCCGATTCTCTTTTTGCATCGCTCTTCTGTACTGGTCGGCTTTTTGCTTGTATCGTATGGCCAAGGCTGTCTGTTGTGCCAGCTCACTGACAAGCCTAGTCTGCTCGCTCTCCCCTTCTGGACCTTGCGCGTGAATGTTGTTTAGCTGCGCGGCTAGCTTCGATACTTTCTTTTCCATTGCAGCAACCTTGGCCAGCTCCTTCTTCAGCTTCTCGCCAAGGCCAGTAGCTTCAGAGTCCTTTTTAACGGCATACGACTTCACATTCTGGCCATACATGATGATCTTCTTCATTTCGCGATTCGACCTCTTGTGGTATTGCTCATACTCAGTCTTCCAATGCTGCCCCGATCTTGAGCATGGTTGACTCAGATCCACAGTCTGATCAGCGATTTGATCACTATTTCCCGCATGGGCGCCAATACTTGCCGCGGATTCTCTAGTAGATCCCTCCTCAGTGGACGTAATTGAATGGTTGTTCGGTTTCTGCTTGGATAATTCTATGAGGGTTTTGGTAAGACTTGAATGGCAAGGTTGGATCCTAGAGTTTTCTTCCGGCATTTCTGGTCTATTGCTCTTTTTTAGGGCGGGATCGCGATTGGCCTCCGTTGATGGCGATTGCTCCTTTATTTTCTGGGCGTTGGATATCAGGGTCCCGAAAGACACTGTCTTACGACGAGTGGCCCCGGTACCGGGAGTTAGGAGGATGCCTTTGGTTGGAGACGCTAGTGGATCAACTTTGAGGAGCGCAACGGGCTCATCGAAATAGCCATTTACCGCATCATGAGCTTGGTTGCCTTCCACCTTTGCTGCGGGCTGAGTCTTTGCAACATCCCTTTTTGGCTCCCCTGGCAGCATATGGTGTCTGACATCGTTTTGATCTGGGTGAGGCGTCCCAAAGATGGCGGTCTTAAAGGCACGGACCGCGAACAACGGCGCCGGAGTTTCAGGCGGTTCTTCGATGTACGATAGTCCATCATCTTGTCTTCTCGTAAGCTCAATCCCAATCCCTACGAATTCGGATTGTATACCTGCTCGAGGGTATCGCGCGTCTGCTGGCCGCGTGGAACCCGTCAGCCATTCTAACATCCTGCCGACGTTCTTTCTCAGCTTCTTGAATGATTTGGTCTCATAGTAGGAGTATGCGGGCGGAATGCGGAAGTGTGGAATGGTGCACGAAAGTCATAGGTATCACATTGTCTCGATTGTTTACACACGTGACACGGGTAATCGGCGTCAAGGATTTTTAGCGCGCGTGATCTTTAGCGGCCCCTCGGCCTGTCACAGAGCTCGGAGTCCGAGAGTTCCAGGGACTAAAGTATTATTGAACGAAGAATAAAATACATGTAATCAGGGTCCAAGTCACGTCTCAGATGTCGCATTGTTGCTTCGATGCCACGAACAAAACCCTGATAAATACTCGGACTTTGTTCCTTCCACCAACTCTCCATATCCGAGCCCTAATACCTGTGTACGAGTACGAGTCAGACTATGAGAGGAGAAACTACCTACTATACTTACCTACTTTAGGTACGTTAGTGAACGGCGTGCGAACCATGTGCTGGATGTGGAGAGCGAAATGCGCTGACAGTCTCTCACTAGCACCAATGCGCATAAGTTGCCGGGGTTGACCGACGGGATCGTGCTCTTCCGAGAATTATCATCCCTGACATTAGTGCACTAGGGTAAATACGTATCCGTGGAATTGTTCGCTCTAGACCCTCATCACTCATCACCGCCATCTTCCTTCTTTTCCTTCTTCTACTTCTTCTTCTTCTTCCTCTTCTTCTTCTCCGTCTCTTCTCTCATTTCTACCCTTTTCGTCCCTGGCCACATTTTGGAAGGTGCTACTTGAGAATCCCGCCTGCGCATCCTCCCTCTCGTGTTTACCACTGTAAATACTGCTAGGCGATCCCTCACAATTGGCTATTGAATGGTTGCCTAGCCCGATTTATCTCGCTGCTATAATATCTTTCCAGTCCCAACCTTGAATCCGTATCGCTTTCGTTTTCAGGCCTAACAAAAGCATTGACTGTGAGGGAGCTCCTCCAGGCAACCGTCCATGATGGACAGCACCGCCGGGGATCTCAACCATGCCGTCAGAGAAGTCGACGCAAGCATCGAGAAACAGCTGAGCCGAGATTCGTGTGATGACTCTTCGTCAGGAAGAGACCTTGTGGGGGAGAAGCACGAGCAGGGTCCGCACTCTTCGGGCTCATCTTCAGACCAGATAGAGCAACTGAAAGAAGTTGATTCCCATATTGTCAAGGTATCTGAGGTCAAGGACGGCGAAGAGGCTTACGCGCATCTACCTCCGCACGAGAAGGAGATTGTCAAGAGGCAGTTGGACATACCAGAGGTGACGGTCACTTTCAAAACGCTGTACCGATATGCAACAAGAAATGATCTTATCATCATTGCTGTTAGTTCTATATGTGCTATTGCAGGAGGGGCCGTCTTGCCGTTGATGACCGTTAGTAACTGGTCCTCGAGTTTGTCAGATATATAGCCTGCTCACGGCATTCCAGGTTATTTTTGGTCAACTAACCGGCATCTTCCAAGGCTACTTTCAACAAACAATATCGCATTCACATTTCAATGCTGAACTGTCACACTTCACGCTCTATTTCATTTACCTTGCAATTGCAGAGTTTATTACCATCTACACCTGTACTGTTGGATTCATTTACACAGGAGAGCATATCGCAGGGAAGATCCGTGAGCAGTATTTGGCAGCTATCCTGCGTCAAAACATTGCATTCTTCGACAAGCTTGGAGCTGGAGAGATCACTACACGTATCACGGCCGATACCAACCTCGTACAGGATGGAATATCTGAGAAAATAGCCCTTACGTTGACCGCATTCGCTACCTTCGCGACCGCTTTCGTGATTGCATTCATCAAATACTGGAAGCTCACCCTGATTCTGTCATCTACAGTCTTTGCCATAGCGTTCATGATGGGGGCTGGGTCGACATTCATCATCAAATATAACAAGCAATCGCTAGAGTCGTATGCCTTAGGCGGTACTGTTGCCGAAGAAGTCATAAGCTCCATCAGAAATGCCACAGCTTTCAGTACTCAGGACAAGCTTGCCAGGCAATATGATGCACACTTGGTAGAAGCTGAAAAGTGGGGCCTCAAGCTCAAGGTTGCCCTAGCAGTCATGATTAGCGGTATGATGGGTATTATCTACTTCAACTATGGCCTCTCGTTTTGGATGGGATCACGATTCATTGTCGATGGCCAGATGACGCTTAGCGAGGTCCTCACAATTATGCTTGCTATTATGATAGGAGCTTTCTCTCTTGGAAATGTGGCTCCAAACGCCCAGGCTTTCACCACCAGTATCGCTGCCGCCGGCAAGATTTTCAACACTATCGATCGAGCCTCTCCTTTGAACCCTATGAATGACGAGGGTGAGAAACTTGAGCAAGTGGAAGGCACAGTGGAGTTGAAGAATATCAAGATGATATACCCGTCAAGGGCCGAGGTGGTGGTAATGCAGGACGTAAACCTCAAGGTGCCGGCTGGGAAAACAACAGCCCTTGTTGGCGCATCGGGGTCCGGAAAGTCCACGATCGTCGGCCTTGTAGAGCGCTTTTACGATCCCGTGGGTGGCGAGGTTTGCCTCGATGGCCATGAGGTCAGCAAATTGAACTTGAGATGGTTGCGCCAACAAATTTCCCTCGTCAGTCAAGAGCCAACATTGTTTGGCACGACTATATTCGGTAACATCAAGCACGGGCTCATTGGCACGAAACATGAGAACGCCGACATCGAACAGCAAAAAGAACTCATTTTGGCTGCAGCTAAAATGGCTAATGCGCATGACTTTGTTATGGGTCTTCCCGAGGGGTACGACACAAATGTGGGAGAGCGCGGCTTCCTTCTCTCGGGTGGGCAAAAGCAGCGAATAGCGATTGCTCGAGCCATGGTCAGCGACCCCAAGATATTGCTGCTGGATGAGGCTACATCGGCTCTAGATACCAAATCAGAAGGGGTTGTTCAGGCTGCCCTCGATGTTGCTGCACAAGGACGGACAACAATCGTAATCGCACATCGCCTATCTACTATCAAGACAGCCGACAACATAGTAGTGATGTCCCAGGGGCGGATCGTTGAGCAAGGCTCTCATGATGAGCTGCTCGAGAAGAAATCAGCGTACTACAACCTCGTCGAAGCACAACGAATATCCGCAGAGAACGAAGAAAAGAATGCAGAGGAGAATGTAGAAATGGACGAGTCCGAGGAAGAGCTCGTAACGTCCCTCACTCCCGAAAAGGAGGTCAGCCGGGAGAAGCTTGAGCGGTCGACCACTGGCAAGTCTGTGTCAAGTGCAATACTGGAAAGCAGAAATGCAAGCTCTGGACGTCAATATTCTCTATGGACCTTAATCAAAGTTGTTGGCAGCTTCAACAAGAAGGAAGTTCATTTCATGCTCGTTGGACTTGTCTTCTCCATCATTGCTGGAGCAGGCAATCCCACTCAGTCGGTCTTCTTCGCCGAAGAGATTGTTGCTCTATCCCTGCCTCCTTCGATGTACTCTAAACTCAGGCACGACGCTGATTTCTGGGCTCTGATGTATCTCATGCTGGCCTTGGTGCAAATTTTGTCATTCAGTGCTCAGGGCATAGCTTTTGCATTTTGTTCCGAGCGCCTAGTACATCGAGCCCGAGACAAGGCATTTCGGACTATGCTTCGACAGGACATTGCTTTTTTCGACAAGGAGGAAAATTCGGCTGGTGCCCTGACATCCTTCCTATCAACCGAGACGACCCATCTGGCAGGCATGAGTGGTGTGACTTTGGGCACCATACTTGTCGTCTGTACGACACTCATTGCGGCCATCTCGCTATCTTGCGCCATGAACTATAAGCTCGCTCTTGTTTGCACTGCCACAATACCAGTCCTGCTTGCTTGTGGCTTCCTTCGCTTTTGGATGTTAGCTAGGTTCCAAGACCGAGCCAAGAAGGCTTATGAATCGTCTGCTAGCTTCGCATGCGAGGCTACTGCTGCTATACGCACCGTCGCTTCTCTAACTCGAGAAGAGGACGTTTGGGAACATTATCACCAAAACCTTGTCGCTCAGGGGAGGGCAAGCTTACATTCTATCCTTCGATCTTCGATACTTTACGCTTCATCTCAATCTTTCATGTTCTTATGCACAGCCCTAGGCTTCTGGTATGGAGGCACACTCCTCGGCAATAAGGAAATAACCGAGCTTCACTTCTTCATCTGCTTTTCTGCCATCATCTTTGGTGCGCAATCTGCTGGAACAATCTTCTCATTCGCCCCAGACATGGGCAAAGCGAAGCAAGCTGCCAAAGAGCTCAAGACGTTATTTGATCGAGTGCCGGCAATTGATTCATGGTCGCAAGACGGTGAGCGATTCAGCGACATGGAAGGCACCATTGAATTCCGAGATGTGCACTTCAGATACCCAACCAGGCCGGAGCAACCCGTGCTGAGAGGTCTCAGTCTTACGGTCAAGCCGGGCCAGTACGTCGCGCTTGTTGGGGCCAGTGGGTGTGGGAAGAGCACGACCATTGCCCTGATGGAGCGTTTCTACGACCCACTTTCTGGAGGTGTCTTTGTCGATGGCAAGGAAATCTCCAGCCTCAACATTAATGACTACCGAGGCTTTTTGGCATTGGTCAGCCAAGAGCCAACGCTGTATCAAGGCTCCGTTCGGGAGAATGTGCTGCTCGGTGCTGATCGAGAAGATGTGCCCGAAGAGGCTATTATTCAGGCTTGCAAAGACGCCAACATTTACGACTTCATAATTTCTTTGCCGTGAGTTCCGTGTCCTGTTACAGCGTAATTCTCAATATGGCTGACCTTGATTGCAGTGATGGCTTCTCCACCGTTGTCGGTTCCAAGGGCAGTATGCTTTCCGGCGGCCAAAAGCAACGCATCGCCATTGCCCGGGCTCTTCTGCGTGATCCCAAGATCCTTCTACTCGATGAGGCCACGTCGGCTCTTGACTCTGAATCAGAGAAAGTGGTGCAAGCAGCTCTTGATGCTGCGGCACGGGGTAGGACAACGATTGCAGTGGCACATCGCTTAAGCACTATTCAGCGGGCGG